TTAATTGATAGCTACATGGGTCAATGTAAATATATTTAATACTTTGAAGGTATCTGGAAACAAAATACCGCACTACCCCAGTAGGATATTACTTGCATTCTTTTCTTTCTTTTCTCATTTATTCAAGCAACCTTCCACATTCCTAACATGTGGTAATAATTCAACCTCTGTACTTTTCCAATCTTATTTATAAACACAGTTTTTCAGACTTTACTATCACAAAGCCCCAGAAATAACCTACCAAACCATTTTATTCCAGAAACGCCAAAGGACCCTCATGGGTTTGCCATCTGCTGCCTGCTGCTGCCTCCCTGCATAACTCCTCCCCAAACATTCCAGATACTTCTCTAATTAATGAAGACCTCACCACTTGGATCCTATCTCTTCGTTGCAAGAGCACAGTTGAACATTTTTAATATTCTGCAAGACTCAGAAACCTAGAAACATACTATGGAGAAACTTCAGATTTCGTGAGATCCAAGGGTCAGGGTCTCTAGTTGCTTATTTCTAAGAGGAGTTAATTGATTGCAGAACCAAGAGCCCCCAATCCACCACTAGCACAGTCAGATCCCCTCTACCTTCCCCTTCACATATGGGGTATTGAAAACAGATCCTCCCCATGAAAAACACTGGTGAGTGCTCATCTAATTCAAACTCCTCATTTCATAGGGAAGAAAATACAAGAAAGTTAGGAGTGGGGGAACTAAGGTGGGAGGAGTTAAAGTTGACTATATTCTTATTTTATTTACCAGGCTATTGACAACTTACTAACTACCCTCCGTCCGCATAATCCTATCCCTTCGTCCTCAGGGCAAACTCAGACCAAAGTTAAATGGGGGTGCTTTCAGTTTTTGCTTGCGATGGTGTTACACAAGAGTAACCCAAAGACCACAAGATAATGCTTAACCTAGCGAAGGAAGCAGGGCCTGTTCAAACTTGCCCTATTCACAGATGGGGGTGGGGTGGGCAGCACCCTCTTGTCACTGTGACAAGTGAGCTAAGAAAATGTATCCCAATTGCTGGGTTTTGAGCCTTTCTGAAATTAGATGCCATTTTGCAATTTCAAGGAAAAAAAGTAAATCTCCTTCTTTGCCATGTGAACTAAGGTGTAAAAGGGAGAAAATGTGTTTTCAGGATTTAAAGGACCTACTTATGCTCTTAACTGCTGAGTTATTTTCACCAGCAGACCTTGTCTTTGCGTAAGCCCTAGACTTCCAAGAAGTGGGGAAATGTCAGCAAGGGAGGTGGAAACACAGAGGGAGAAAGGAAAGAGAATTAGGTGTCTCTATGGAAGGAATGATAGTGACCTCTGATCTACACACTTCAGGCCAAATCCCCATACCCCTCAGCTGACCAGCTGTCTGATTAAGGTTCTTAAAAGACTGACATTGGGACAGGCCCAGTGATGCATGCCTGTAATCTTAGCACTTTGGGAGGCGGAGGCAGGTGGATCACGAGGTCAAGAGATTGAGACCATCCTGCCCAACATGGTGAAACCTCATCTCTACTAAAAATATAAAAATCAGGCTGGGCGTGGTGGCTCACATCTGTAATCCCAGCACTTTGGGAGGCCATGGTGGGTGGATCATGAGGTCAGGAGTTCAAGACCAGCCTGGCCAACATGGAGAAACTCCATCTCTACTAAAAAAACTACAAAAATTAGCTGGGCGTGGTGGCAGACACCTGTAATCCCAGCTACTACGGAGGCTGAGGCAGGAGAATTGCTTGAACTTGGGGGGGCGGAGGTTATAGTTAGCAAAGATTGCACCACTGCACTCCAGCCTGGACAACAGAGTGAGACAAAAAAAAAAAAAAAGAAAAGAAAAGAAAAGAAAAAAGATAAATACAAAAATTAACTGGGCGTGGTGGTGCATACTTGTAGTCCCAGCTACTTGGGAGGCTGAGGCAGGAGAATCTCTCTTTTATTCGGAGCAGAGTGCAGTGAGCCGAGATTGTGCCACTGCACTCCAGTCTGGTGACAGAGTAAGACTCCATCTCAAAAAAAAAAAAAAAAGGACTGACATTGAACTTTAAGGTGTCTCCCAGGCCCATTTACTTGTGAAACACTTGCTCTGTTCACTCAAGAAATACTTCCGGTTCATTACTGGCCTGAAACCTCTCTCTCTTTCTCTCCATGTCTTACTGCCTAAGGCTGTACTGTCCAATACTGTAGCCACTAGCACATGTAGCTTTTGAGCAACAGAAATGTGGCTACTTCAAATTGAGATGTGTATACTAAAGAAATTAAAATTACATCTATGGCTCACATTTGTGGCTATAATTACATTTCTACAGGTCAACACTGCTCTAAAGATAATGTAGTACTAGAATTAGAGATATTTAAGCCCAAGCAGCAAGTACAAGCTAATCTTCCTAAATTTTATGGCATTCTAGAAAACTGATTGGGGAACTGAGTCTTGATTAACTCATCCCAAGGTAAAATTCATTCATGGGATCATCTGACTCTTATCCATGAGTTCAACACAGAAAATATTGCAAAGCTCTGATGCTCCATTCAGGTCCAGAATAAATGCTCCCAATTCAATGTGAGCAGCTCTTTCCTCTGGGGATACATGAGAGTGAGAAGTGAGACTTGAGGATTCCGCCATAATGGAAGCAAAGAGAGGAAAACAGGGATGGAAGAGGACGCAAGAAAGGGAGAGAGGGGAGGGTATAGATTAAGATAAAAAGAGAATAGAAGGGATAATGAAAGTATGCATGGAAACATGGAGATTAGGAAGAAACAGAGGTAGGGAAGAATATCTCTATGGTAGAATAAAACCTAGCATTCTTCTTACTGCTCAGAGTAATTCTGAAGGCTAAAACTGAGAAGGCCAGTATCAAAAATGAAGTGACAATGGCCCAGAGAGAGAACTCAAGAGGGTTACTCCACTCAGCAAAGAAAGGCAGCCCTTAGAATGCCCCTGAGCAAATGGATGCAGTCACATTATATAACTCACTCACTTCTCTGCCTTTCATCTTTGTCAATGGCCATATACCCGCAATTTCACTAAGTGCAATTCCCATTTCAGAGAGTCTTTAAAGCAAGCAGCACTGCCTCACAAACCCATGAAAATAGGTCCTTTTCACTCTCTTATCTTGAATCTCAAAAAAAGCATACTCTTGCTCTGAACAGATATGGACTTCTTTTGAGTTTTTAAGAGCCAATTATAGCACATCGCAACTACTGTACCCTATAATACTGTCTCCAGAGAGGGCTCTCCAGCAGATGCAGGGGGTCCCCATGATACAAAGGGCTGTGTTCTAAAAGTTCCTGTGTAAGGTGGTTGCCTAGTGCTTAGAACATATTTTTAAGGAGAGGAAAATAAAACAGCAATGAATGGCTAGAAAGAGACCCAGTCTAGTCCAAAAAGTCTCCTTAACCATGTGTCTGAACTATGCAACTGAAGAGTGCTCTTGGATCTGGGAGCCATGGTGCAGTGCAAGGGGGAGAAAAAGGAAAAGGAGACTGAAAACTCTCTGGCTACCTCCTGGATGGGAGGTGTCACTAGCCATTTCTTGAGGTCCCCAACAAGCTATAAGGTAAAAATCCTCATTTGAGAGAACCTGCACTGCTCACTGATACCCGCTATTTTTGCAAATTCACTCAGTGGCTCACAGAAACACTTGACAGAGTGCTGAGTGGCATGGATTTGGGAAGGATGCAGGGCAGCAAACAAGCAAGCTGGAGAGGGCAGCGGGATGGGGGCCTAAGAGGCTAAATCAGAGGTTCTCAAATGTTCTTAGTCCATGTCACTCTGGCGTCTCAGGTATTTTTTTCATGATATTTCTAGGCAAAGAGGAATATCTAACAGTTCCATGAGTTAAACAGGTAGATCCAAACAACTCAATAAATACTTATGTCCCAACAACTTAGTAACTATTTGAAAAGAAAAAGATATAAATTGATGAGAAGGTGATATTTTTATTTCATTCTTATATAGCCATAATTTTTAATGAGACCTACATGCTGCTGGGCACTATGCAGCTTTTCTAGCTTTGGAATTAAATGGGATTCTGCCACCCCATTTCCTGCTTCACATTGATTTTTATACCACACTGGCTATTTATCACAGCAACCCCTGAAAGCCCAGCTTTTCAAAGATATGACTTCATTGAAAGGAATGTAGTGATCTAATGTTAAAACTATGAACTACCTTAAGCCCGTAGTTCACATGGTAGCTGACAGATGCTGATTGTTTCAGTGTTTGCCTAAAAAAAAAAAAAAAAAAAATCCCACAGTCTCTCCACGAATTCACTGTGGCACCCCAGGGTGCCTTCAGAGAATAGTTTGGAAAAAGGCAAGGCTAGAATCTTCCCAATGCAACCAATTAAGAGTATCCTTTCTGGTTTACATTTCACAGTAAGAAAAATGTAACCCACACTGAAATGGCCATGGGCTTGACCTCTGAACTAACCTCTGCCCTGCCCTTTTAAAAGTGTTCCACATTCAATTCACAGCATCCTTTGGGTAAGTGATTTACCCAAAAAGTGTTTTTCATTAATTGACATGTGAGATAAATGTTGAAGTAAATACAGACTAACAGAAAGAAGGTGCCACGTGTATGTTTTGATAATCATATAATTTTGCCCCTGGTAAGACTAAAAGAAAAATAAAGTCTAAGACAAGCAAAGATTACATTGAGGCCAAAAAAAGGAGGAAATTCAGGTTTGTCAATTCATTCACTCATTCATTCATCCATTCATTCTACAGATGTTATAAAGTTTCTGTCATGTTCCAAATACTGTATGTCACCAGAGACACAGAAGTGAAAAAGTCAGCCACAACATGGCCTTTGAACTCCTGTCAAGGGCAGTAGTGACCTTCATCTTCCCCAATGCAAAGGAGTATTTTCTGACTTCATCTTATCTGACCTCTCAGCAACATTTGGCCTAGTTGATCACTCCTTCCTTCCTTTCACTTGTTCACTTGGTTTCTAAGACACCCTCTACCCTGGTTTTCTTCCTGCCTCATTGCCTGCATCTTCTTAGTTTCTTCCTTTTTCTAGCCTCCAATGTTGATTTCCTCATGGCTCAGTTCATTTTCTCCATCCTCACTCTCTCCTTTGGGTGATCCCTTGTAGTCTTATGACATCAAATACCATCTCTATGCTATTAAGTCCTATATTTCTATCTCTATCTCCCACTTCACTCCAGAGCTCCGGATTTGTATAGCCAACCATGTACTCAACATCCCCACTTGAAGAACTAACAGGTATTTCAAATACAATATTTTCAGAACAGAAACCTGATCTCTGACCCCCAATCCCAGATTTCTCCATCTCAGGAAATGGTATTGCCATTCACTACGTGTTCAAACCAAACACCTAGAGGTATTCACTGATTCTCCTGTTTCTTATTGCTGTACAACCAATCCTCAGCAAGTCCCATTGACTCTACCTTCAAAACCTACTCTGAATCTAAACCCACCATCTCTCTCCCCAGGGCTGCTACAGTAACCTAACTGGTTTTCTTGTTTTCATTCTTGCTTTCCCATCCTGACTATTCTCAACACAGTGACAAGATGTCCTTTTTTAAAATGTAAGTTACATCATGTTAATTCTTTACTTAAAACCCTTGGAAGAGTCTGTATCACATTTGAAATCTCTGAACTTCCTATCTCAGTCTATAAAAACCAAAATGACCTAGCTGTACCTGAATCAAATCAGGACATAATGCACTTGCTTTTTTTCTCTTCTGGGAACACTATTCCTTAGGTCTGCAGATGCCACACTCTTCACTCAAATCAGAGAAGCTTTCCCTAAATGTCCTTTCTACAATATTCTCCTCATCCCTCTGAAACCCATTATTCTGCTTTGTTTCTCCCTATAGCACTTATGAATCCCCAAGAAATTACATCATAGGTATTTACTCACTTTTGCTATTTTAATTAGAACATAAGATGAGTGCAGTTACTTTGCCTTACTATTCACACAGCAAGCAGTGGACTCTGAAATACTTGATGAAATAATCTTCATCCAGGCGCGGTGGCTCACACCTGTAATCCCAGCACTTTGGGAGGCTGAGGCAGGTGGATCACGAGGTCAGGAGATTGAGACCATCCTGGCTAACACGGTGAAACCCCGTCTCTACTAAAACTACCAAAAAAAAAAAAAATTAGCCGGGCATGGTGGCGGGCGCTGGTAACTCCAGCTACTTGGGAGGCTGAGACAGGAGAATGGCATGAACCCAGGACGCAGAGCTTGCAGTGAGTCGGGATCGCGTATCTGCACACTCCAGCCTGGGCGACAGAGTGAGACACTGTCTCAAAAAAAAAAAAAAAAAAAAAAGAAAAAGAAAAGAAAAAAGAAATAACAACCTTCTGCCTTCACAGGGTCTACTTCTGGTGAAATGTGATAGGAAAAGATCTGGTTTACCATCTGTGCTAATCTCATAATATGCTACTTAACATAGTAGCATTTCTCATGTACCAGGCATTATACTAAAATTCTAGCATAATGTATTACCTTATTTAATTTTTTCAGGTTTCTATGAGGTAGGTATAGATATTATCCCTTAGAAAGGGTAAGTCACTTGCTCAAGGTCCCAGAGCTGGTCAGGAAGAACTGGGATTCCATATCACATCCGTCACACTCTCTACCCTTAGTCACTATGCTGTGCTATATACTGCCTCTATCCGTCATTTCCAGAAAGTGGGATGATCAAGCTAGAATTACCTCTAATGCTTCGATTCTACCTCCTAAAACAAACAAACAAAAATGCTGTCACCTGCGTTGCTTGAAATTTAATTTCTATGTTAAGTCACAAGAACTCTTTTATCCAAATACACTTCAACAAAGACAGCTGGCCACAGACTAACGCAGAAGCACACACGCAGAGACCAAGTGCCACGTTAGGGTGCTGAGGCATCAAATGGAACTTCTGTCATGCCATTTCATCATCATATTACCCACAGTATGAGTTTTCCCCTTTAAAATGATAAACAAGAACTACCAAGGGTGACAACCTCACAACTGAGTGTCAACCAAAAGCAGAATGTTTTAGTAAAATGCACTCACCCTGGTTCTTTTTTTTTTTTTTTTTTTGAGACAGAGTCTCACTCTGTCACTCAGGCTGGAGTGCAGTGGTACGATCTCGGCCCACTGCAAGCTCTGCCTCCCAGGTTCACACCATTCTCCTGCCTCAGCCTCCCGAGTAGCTGGACTACAGGTGCTCAACACCACGCCGGCTAATTTTTTGTATTTTTAGTAGAGGCGGGGTTTCACCATGTTATCCTGGATGGTCTCCATCTCCTGACCTCATGATCCGTCCGCCTCAGCCTCCCAAAGTGTTGGGATTACAGGCGTGAGCCACCACGCGTGGCCCGCACTCACCCTGCTTCTTAACTTTTTGTGTCATCAGGAAAATGAGCCACCTGGCTCATGAAGAAAAAAAACAAAATTATTTGCCTCAAACTTCCAGTATCTGACTGTGCAGGATGGATGAAGTGCCTCCAATGGACCCCTCTCAGTTTGACATGGCTCTAAGAAAATTTTCTGAGACCCTACAGCTGAATTCAAAACCAGCTCCAGACAAAAGAACCATCACCACGAGTTCAGAGATGCAATAGTGACTTTGTTTCTTTCTTCTCCTGTAATTAGGAACAAACCACCTGTGCTCCCTCTTAAGGTACCACTGGTTCTTACTGCCCATCCTCTTTAGCATACACAAATATAGGCCTACATTTTACACATGCATGCGCATGCACATACACACACACACACACACACTCGCCTTAGCAACCTCATGCTTCTTGACTGTGTACAGAATGAATATCATCCACCATGACAATGATACATAGTTATTTTACTGCAAAATAGGATAAACAGTAAAAGCTATCCTGATGCAATTAAAGATTAGAAGTTACTTGGAAAACAAACTATGCATCTGCATTCAACTTTACTGCTGAACAGGAGCCAAAGCTATTCTTTTCTTCTAAATTTACCAAAGAAAACATCAAATATGACATTTGGCAATTCTCAGAACCTAATTTGAAATCCATTTTGACTCTAAATAAACCCATAAATTTTACAGACCTTCTGATAAGTGCTACATGCTGTGATATAACCCGTTTATGGAAAGACTTCATGGACTCAATTCTTTCCTAAAAATCAAGACTTGGAAAATGTTGGTTTGAGAAAAGAATCAGGAAGCAAAATGGAGAATGCATGAGTGTAAAGGTGAGTGTCATTGCTTGGAGAATAAAAGAAAAGCTGTTTCCACTGCAGACACCCACTCCCACACACGCCCATGTCCCCTTCCTTAACCTCACAGGGTTTCCTAAACCATCACATCTTCCATCTTCTAATTTGGGAGTGTTTTTGCTGGACTATTCTGGGCAATTTCTGGTATCTGGACTCCAGGTCTCCAGTCTTCAGGTCAAAGATGAGTTTATAGACAGATCATCTATAAATTGAGAGTAGATAGCCCTTTAGGGTAAAGTGAAGATACCAGAAAAGACTATCCTCTCATGGCTAAATCTTGAGATGAAATGGCTTCTAAGTAGTGCTTTGCCAGTTCCTCAAAAGATTAATTTCTGGATGCAGAAAAAAGTGATAATACAGCAAAAATGGAAATTGAAATTGCCAATCCCACAGTACCCAAATATCTGAATAAAACAAGTCTTTAATCTCTTTGTCCCTGACAGTCTCTAGCTACTTAGCTACCGATAGCACCACCACTACCAAGTCTATGTCTGGCATATGTTAGGAAACTTTGCTAACTCATTATGAAAATCAAGTTTCATCACTAGCTCCCAGTTCCTAAAAGGTGACCAGGATCCTCACAAATCATAAAACAATGATAAGTAGAAAGAAATATCTTAAGTCATTTCATTCAACTTCCTCACTTTACAAAGAGTCAAGATTCAAATGTTAGTCTCTTAAAATGTCAAAGCTAGTGCCAAGATTGAGTTTTTTAAGCCTTATTCTCCTAATCCCCAAGACAACATTTCTACTAGGTACATCATTGCTAAAGAAATAAATAGATTTGCTATCCAGTCATCCATCCACAGATAAGTAAGAAACAGATTATAAAAATACGTGTGTGTGTGTATACATACATGTGTGTGTGTGCCTGTGTGTATATATATACATAGATGTCTATATATATATATATGCATACACACACACACACACACACACACACACACAGAGCCAGTATGGCTTAGTGATTAAAAGCATGTACTCTAGAGCCAAAGTGGCTGGTTCAAATCCTGGCTCTGCCACTTACAGGCTGTATGACCTTGTGAAAATTTTTCAATTATACCTTAGTTTTTCATCTGTAAAACAAGGGGAATCATAATAATAACAACAACTACCAGCATAATGTTACCCACTCCACTGGGTTTTTGGACAGCTTAAATGAGATGTCTCATTAAAAAAATTAAAATTTCAAGTACTTAAAATAGCATCTACCATATCATAAGTGTTTTATCTAAGTATTACCTACCATTATTCTTTCAAATATAATTGAGACTATAAAGAAATTCTGAAAAGGAGGTCATGGTCTTGCTTTGCATTATTTCTCTGGGAATGTTCTGAACACTTTTCAAATATACCAGCTTCATTTGCTATAGAGCATTCTGAAAGGAATTCAAGATATGGTTTAGCGTACTCTGCCTAGACTTAAGTAGTCCCATCATTCTAGGCAATGTAAGAGCAAGAATAAAAGGTAGGAAAGGTATTATTATTCAAAGGTATAATCCCTGACTTCTGTTTTAAGAATCATTATTGATTGACACCCATATAGAGTACTCCAACACCACAGACAGTAGGAACCCACACTTGTTGATTTGATTCTCGAAGTTACTAGGAGAGTGGTTTATTCCAGATCTCCAAAGTTCCAATACCAGCTGGGCAGCACCTCCTCAGCTCTGGGTCCCAGCTCCAAGCCTCTAGGTTCTGGTATCTCCCAACCCCCTCCTTTTGATCCTCCAGCACTAGAGCAGTAGCTGTTTGCTGCAGCTCCTATCTACACATTTCCTCACAGTTCTCTTTTTCTTCCTGTTCAGTACTTCAACAGCTGTTTAACAAAGCTCTGGTATTAAATTCACTATGTTAAAAATAATCATAGTAGCCTCTTTTCTGACTGGATGCTGGCTAATATACCATCACACAGACATTTAATCCAAGCTTTCTCATACAACACAGAATCACTCCTTTTTTTATTATTATTATACTTTAAGTTCTAGGGTACATGTGCACAACATGCAGGTTTGTTACATATGTATACATGTGCCATGTTGCTGTGCTGCAGCCATCAACTCGTCAGCACCCATCAACTCGTCATTTACATCAGTTATAACTCCCAATGCCATCCCTCCCCCCTCCCCCTCCCCACAATAGGCCCCGGTGTGTGATGTTCCCCTAACCATGTCCAAGAGAATCACTCCTTATTAAAATCGACAGACAAAGCAACTCCAATCCTTCACGTGAAACATGTTAAATGTCTCTGCATCACTCTAAGGGAGCTCCTCTCAATGTCTAAGTTCAATTCTTCCACTTGAGATTTGTCATCTTCTTTTCTCAGCCTGTCATCAATGTAAACCATAGACATACCCTCCCGGCCTGCAGATATTATATATCATCTGCACAAATCATGTGACAAGAACTGTCCCACCAGTCTTGATCCAAGTTTAAAACCTATGTCTATTTTATTTCGTGATTCTTATTTAGGATTAGTAGTATTGGTAAATAATACTGTCTATTAATTTTGTTTAAGAATAATAAAGAGGGTTTAAAAATAGTGTTGTGAAGCACAGGTTTAGATGGAGGGCAGGACAGGAGAAACAAACAAATATCTGGTGGGAACACACAACGAGGTGGGTGGAAAGTGAGACCTGGAAACAAGCCCAAACAAAGTACATATAAATGCTTAAAGATCAACTGTCTTTGTTTAGTCCTTTTCTCTAGGCAAAAATGCCACACAGGTGTTTGTAATGGTTCATGGGAATTAGCCAAATGTGTGGAAGAAACCAGCGCTCTGCAGTAAGACAGACATGCATTCCCACCCTGGCTCTAGACGCCTCTTATCAGCCATGTGATCTTAAACAAGTAATTTCGCTTCTCTGAATACTGGTTTCCACATTTCTAAAATGGAGATAATAGAGAAAACCTTGCCAGTTGGCACTGCTGACTCTTAGAGCCTATCACCATGTCTGGTGTATCACAGGCCCTTGACAGAAGTTACTTCCCGCCTTCCTGCTCCTACATTTTGCCTAATTTTCTAGTATATCTTAAAAGAGGAAAGCCCAGACAATAACTGTACTAATTATCTATTGCTACATCACAAATTAGCATCAACCTAATGGCTTAAAACAATACACATTTATCATCTCGGTCTCCATGGTCAGCAATCTGAGCAAGGCTTGGTTGGGTCCTCTGCTTCAGGGTCTCCCTAGGATGTAATTGAGTTGTCAGCTAGAGCCCCATCTGAAGGTTCAAATGGGGAAACATCTGCTTCCAAGCTCACAGGGTTGTTGACAGAATGCAGTTTCTCAAAGGCAGCTGGACTAAGCCCCCAATTATTCTGTCTGTTGGCCAGAGGTCACACAGGCCTTTCCAGCATGGCAGCTTGCTTCATGAAGCACACAAACCAAGAAGACAATAGAGTCTGATAATAAACAGAAATCAAACTTTTTGCAGCCTAATGAATTCACTCTCCCTGATGATCTCTGAGCCAGACCACTGGTCTCCTTCTGCCTTCAGCCTCAGACTGGAACTATACCCGTGGCTCTCCTGGGTCTCCAGCTTGCTGACTGCAGATGGTAAGACTTCTCAGTCTTCTTTATTGCATGAGCCTATTACTCATAATAAATCAATCTCTCTCTCAATCTCTGTGTGTGTGTGTGTGTGTGTGTGTGTACACAACTGACCCTTGAACAACACAGGTTTGAACCGCACAGATCCACTTAAATATAAATTATTCTGCCTCAGCCACCCCTGAGACAGCAAAACCAACCCTTCCTCTTCCTCCTCCTCCTCAGCCTGCTCAATGTGAAGATAATGAGAATGAAGACTTTTATGATGATCCACTTCTACTTAATGAACAGCAAATATATTTTTCTTATTAATAATAATATTAGAAAATAGGCAAAATATAGGAGCAGGAAGGCAGGAAGTAACTTCTGTTTCTCAGTAACATTTTCTTTTCTCTGGCTTACTTTATTGTCAGCATACAGTATACAATACATACAATAACATACAAAATACATGTTAATCAACTATGTTATCAGCAAGGCTTCTGGTCAACAGTAGGCTACTAGTAGTTATGTTTTGGGGGTATCAGAAGTTACACACAAATTTCAACTGCATGGGGTGTGAGCACCACTAACCTCCATATTGTTCAAAGGTCAATGGTATATATCCTATTGGTTCTGTTCCCCTGTAGAACTCTGACTAACACAGACACTAAAAAAACAGAAAAGTTATCTCCAGGGAGAAGAATGAAATGATGTATAAAGAGAACCACAGAAAAGATCATGTTGCCTAGGAAGAAGGAGCATAAGGAAGTGGCATATTCTTATAGTCTCTCAAAATATCTGGCTGTACGTCCTCCTCTTAGGTGCCATGAGACACCTCCTGGGTTTGTATAATTAAATCCCCTTTTACATAAGGGAGCACAGTGGGTTTCAGGTACCTGCAAGACCAAAAGTCTTGAATAAGGTACTTGGGGAATCAATGCGTTGCAGTAGAAAGCACTGATCTCCCGCTCTGCTCACCATAATGCTACCAGAAACAAGGCTCTCTGACATCCCAACAGTACACAGTAAAATGTTTAAGATACAAGACCGTGGGGTCAGAGCAAACCTGGATTCAGTTCCCAGCTTTGCCACATACTGACCATGTGACCGTGGCTAAGTTACTTCATCTCTTCAACACTTCATTTTCTTAATCTAATAATGCAGGGGATCTCATAAAATTCTCATTTATGAGAATTAAGGAGAAAATGAGCTCCAGGGCCATCATAGAAGGCCTTGCCGATTGTGCCCTCATCACGCAGCCAAGCAACTGAGCTCAGTGCAATGGCTAACCCAGAGTAAGCGCTCAGAAAGTTGGCCATTACTCTATTTTTCCCTTTCAGTTCCAATTGCCTACCTGACTGCACCAAAACCACTATTTTAAGCAAGTTGCGAGTGACACTTTTAACTCAAATAGACACAAACACCTGCAACAATTTAATTGGCAGTGGTTTCTCTGCTTCAGCTTGCTGTTCTTTTCAAAATAAATATATACCAGACACTACACCACCACACATAGTAGAAATTCTGGTAGACATAATGTATCTTTCAGGAAATCATTCCCAATTGCCAAGAACCTAACCTTTTGAGGCAATCTCTGCCAAAAAACAAACCAACATCCTATGGAAATATTTAGGGCTGTGAAGTCAGCGCAACATGGGGTAAAAAATACCCACGTCCTGCTGGGTGTGCTTGGGCAAGTTTCTTAATCTTCTCAAGCCTCTCTGTTCCCTTATTTTCAACAGGAATACCTCACAGGGTTATAGGGGATTAAATTAAGATATATAAAGCTAAGCACAGTTCTAGAATATATAAAATGCTAAATAATTTCTAGCTGTTTTATTTTCAACTCTAGAATAACCAAAAACTTGTGTGTTTTATGTAATACACTAATAATCACTCACTGGCCCCAAGAAGTAATTTTACTATTAACTTACATGAGCCTAATCCTTTCAAGTAGGTTGAATGACTTGACCTGAAGGCCGTTAAGATTCTGAATCTAAATGTAATCAAACTTTCCCCAAATGTCAGGTGACCTGACATTCTGGTTCAGCCAGGATAGTCCCATGCATAATTATTAATAGGGCCTCGTTTAAGTCCTGACAGTGTCCTAGTTTGTATAACAAATTATATGATCACCCTACCTAAATAAAGTAAAATCTTTAGATGGGAGATACAGGTTTAAAATACTTTATTTCACCTCAGTGCATGGGTACTGTGGTTTATATTTTTTTCTCTTAGTTTTTGAAGTGAACTGAAAATATAGAGCTTTTAGGATTCTAAATTCATATATCAAGTAGCTTTTCATACTGCCTAGACTGGGGAGTTATGACTAAGCTGTAGGCCTTTATTTCAAAAGACAAGTCACAAGACTGAAGATGGAAGTGGAGCGAGGCATTCTTGTGCAGCGCAGTTGCTGTGGTTTTTAGAGATCTATACTACCTCACAGGGATGTGTAATCAAGAAATGACAACACTTTACCTGCCCTATCAGTTTGCCACTTAAAATGCATTTTCCCACCAGGCCTGGTGGCTCATGCCTGTAATTCCAGCATTTTGGGAGGCTGAGGCAGGAGGGTCACTTAAGCCCAGGAATTTGAGACCAGCCTGGGCAACATAGGGAGAACCCATCTCTACAGAAAAATAAAATAATTAGCTGGGCATGGTGGCTCATGCCTGTCGTCCCCACTACTTGGGAGGCTGAGGTGGAATCATCACTAGAGCTCAGGAGTTCAAGGCTGCAGTGAGCTATGATGGTGCCAATGCACTCCATCCTGGGTGACAGAGCAAGATCTTGTCATAAATAAATAAATAAATAAATAAATAAATAAATAAATAAATAAAATGTATTTTCGTATTTATCATCTAATTTCAACCTCAAAAGCAAATGCCATTTTCTGTTCCACCATCTCACGTGTGCCAGAGATTTCCACGCAAGTGGGTGACTTGACAAGTCAATCCACCTAACTTGAAGGTTCTCTGATGCTCACTCTCCTCCCTACTTAAGATCCCCAATCTCTGTCTTTCTCAGCTTCTTGACTCCAAATTTCCAAATGCTCCCATGAATCTGAAAAACCTGGTGCTTGGCCTTCTTGTCCCATTTCGTACCCTGCCCTGCACCTCCGTTCCACCTTCAGGCCATAATGTGCAGCTTTGTTCATCAGCCTCATGAAACCAAAGAAAAGAGCATGTCATTGCACAGGACATTCTCCTACTCCAGGACATGTGGCCGAGTCTGCCTTTTGCCTAGACTCTGCCCATTTGTGAATGAGGATAATACATTATCCCCCATCTTCCAGATGAGGAAACTGAGGCAGGAGGCCTGGTACCTTGTAAAGGTCACCATAGTGGTAAAGCCTGAACTGGACAGTGGGTCTTGGCTCCAACGTCTATGTTGTTTCCCTATAGCAGTGCTTCTTGAATGTCAATGTGCACTTGCAAGGTCAGTTACGTAATTTGTGGGGACCAGTGCAAAATAAAAATGCTGCGTC